GGCAGCTCTCCAGCCGCTCCTCCCAAAGCCTATAGCGCCACCGGGGCTCATTGTGTCTGACGTGCAGGACCCCTACTTGGCTTTGTTGAACCTCATACAACTGACCTTGAACCAGAGACCCAGTCTGTCCAGATCCCCCTGCAGACCCTCCCTGCCCTCCAGCAGATCAACACTCCCACTCAATTTGGTGTCATCTGCAAATTTACTGAGGGTGTACTCAATCTCATCATCCAGATGATCAATAAAGATATTAAACAAGACTGGCCTTCACTGAGCCCTGGGGAACACTGCTTGTGACCAGCCGCCAGTCGGATTTATCTCCGCTCACCACCGCTCTCTGGGCTTGCCCATCCAGTCAGTCTTTAATCCAGCAATGAGCCATGAGCCACCAACTTCTCTAACAGAATGTTGTGGCAGATTCACTACTATGGGTTATTCAGCAGCTTGTGGTTGATTCCATCTTGCCAAGAAGGAAATTTTTGGATGAAATTCAGAGTTTTGGGGTCTTTTCCAGTCCCACGGAAGTGCTTTCACAGGTGGCTACAGAGAGAATATTTCAGTTGGGAGCACGAGTCGCTGCTGATCCCCTCACCGTTGATGTAGGCACATTGTCCCTGACCCTGCACCTTGAACCTGCCTCAGAGCAGAAGGGAAAAAAAAAAAGCAAGTGGTTAAGCATCTCCTACATGGGTGGACAGTGCTGCGAGGAGCAGGGACCCTCCCTTTCCCAGCAAATGGGGAACAAAAACTGCCTCCTGCTCTAAGAATTGGATATTTTTGGTTGCTTGGTCCCAGGCGGTTCACTCAAGGGTGCCCTCATACCCCCTTGCCACCATCTGCAGCCCATAAATCCACAGACTACATTCTGTGGGCTGTACTCAAGCAAGAAAAATGGTGTTTAATTGCTCCCACCTTGTTAAATTTATAAATATACATATACATACGCATACATATGTATGTGTGTGTGTCTGTCTGTATGTGTGTGTGTGTCTTCTCGCATTCAACCCCTAACCTATCTGAGGCCAGGACATGGCTAGGTTGTCCAGAAGCAGATGGCACGTACAGGTTGTTGTAGAGAGACCCGTTGAACCACTTCCAAGGCCCGGAGTCTTCCCGCTGGAGACCAATCCAGTAGTGCCAGGAGGTCCCATAGCGCAAGAGGAAATGCTACAGAGGGGGGTAAAAAAAATCAAGCATCATATGTATTTTCATGGTACGTCCCCAAGGGAAACCCAAACCGGCTTCCTAAACTCCATCCTTGGGATTTCTCATTTACCAACTCCTCCTGGGTGTCGATGGTGGCCAAATGGGCTCCAAGCCCGAGGCAAGAGCGTTGGCTCCTGTCCCAGTCCGCCTCCACCTCCACGAAGTAAAAACACTTCTCCCCGTACCTGATCCCTTTCTGCAGGCAGCTGGCAAGGACGGGAGAGGGGCAGGATGGACATTTCTTCACTGGAAACAAAAGCCAAAGACATCCTGCTGGGTTTTCTCCAGGGGAGGAGAAGACCTTTGGTGGGCATATCCCTCCTTGGCCACTTACACGCCAGTGTGATGATGGTGAGAAGCAGCGCCGTGACCACCACAGTGACTGTGATGGGGACCTTTTTATCCTTAATGCATTTGAGGTTGAAACCTGGGAGGGGAGCAAATGGCATGGAAGAGGCAAATCCAGGGCATGAAGAGCACCCCAAGCTCCCTGCAGCTTTTGCATCCACTCCCTCTCCCTCCATAGGTGTCTTCATCTCCTGCAAGTAGAGGTCCTCCTGCCACTCTGCTCTGCCCTGGTGAGGACACATCTGGAATGTTG